TGCAAAACTTCGGACCGCAGGTGTATGCAGTGGGGAATGAACACGCTCTGTTGTCCTTACCGGAGAGCAGCGCACTTCACCACCACACCATCTGGGTCCTTCGCTTTGCCTGTCTCTCAGCTAGTTAATATAACTAGTCAATATAACTAGTCAATAGTTAATATAACTAGTCAATATAACTAGTCAATAGAACTAGCTGAGAGACAGGCAAAACGGACCCGGATGGTGTGGTGGTGAAGTGCGCTGCTCTCCGGTAAGGACAACAGAGCGTGTTCATTCCCCACTGCATACACCTGCGGTCCGAAGTTTTGCAAATATCTCTGCATTTCATACTAGTTATACTCCTGGTTTCTTCAATAGTTCTCATCTGCCTTATTTCCGCTGTTTATAGAACCCTTTGAAATGCCTAAGAATCATCGCATTAAGGTGCGATGAGATGAGCGCTCCCCGGTAAGTACAATAGCGCGTTCGTTCTCCACCGCATACACCTGCGGTCCGAAGTTTTGCAAATATCTCAGCATTTCATACGAGTTATATTTCGCAACATACCCTGCCATTAAGGAGAAAAAAGCAGCAAATAAAATGGTTAAAACCAGGAGTTTTGCGATACTCTGTAAGGACACGAAAGTGGTCTCATGAATAAAGCACTTACTCATTTTTGTTCACCTTCAATCAACTCAAGGAGTTTACCCAATTTTCTTAGTTCAGGACCTTTCAAAATAATCTAGAATTAAACAGTAATTGATTGGGTTGCCACCAACACACTAAGTTATTCCGAATCCTCTTGTATGACTGCATGTGTGAAGCACTAAACTGCATTTACCGTAACGGCACAAAAGGAAACTGGATGAGTTGAAGTACAATATATCTGAACTGTTGCAACACGTGAGATGCCGAATAAAATGACGAATTGGACAGACCACTCTATGTTCACGTAAAAGAGTACCTAAATATAAAAGTGGATACTAAACAAACTACTCCACTAGGTACGCATGGGACGCTAGGAAACAACGGTGATGATTTCGAGGCCGAAGCCATGATTGCAACGAAAAAATTAAATATAATTTTAAATAAAAAATAAAAAATTTTCTACTTCGTTGAGCTCACTGAGCAAAGTCTGTTCTTCACCGACACTTCTTCAAAAGATGACGAAGTCGTTTATATTCGACACAAACTTTTCTCATGTCTTTTCCTACGAACATGATAAAAGGCAATGGAAAGGCTGCATTTCATAGTGCAGCTACAATAGCATACTCAAGATTTTAGAGCATAGTTAGCAATCAAGTCGGCAATGTGTACTGCGAAAGGACTCTCTATGCAAGTCATCCAACTGAGGTTGATTATAGAGCAGTGGACAACATGGACACAATCGGGGTGGTATAAAGGCATGGAAGTGGGAGTACAAGAGACAGATTATCCTGTGTATAGTTCGTGGTATGACCTTTTACTCTTACTCAATATGGTCGTAAATGATTAAAAGCGAATGGCTTCCAGAAGGAGATCTAATGGTGATGCATTGATACCCGTAGTGTTTTTACATCACTGACCTCTCATTTTTGGTCTCAGCAAACAGAACCGTTTCTTTAATAAATATCACTATTGCATCACCATTGCAAATAAGCCGTAAGGGTTGCGAAACAGATGACCACTAGCATTTGTTAAAAACGTTACTACAAAGAAAGTCTCATTAGCGGTTTGAGAAAGTGCACATCGTTGGCACGAACTGCAAGTTCGAAATAAAAGAAGTTGCGCATACCTAAGAATTGGAAGTTCTACACTCAAATTGTCAGTTGTATGTAGGAATCACAAGTATTTCGTAAAGTGAGTGCACTCTGTCTAGGACATGTATACTTTATGGCTTAAATAGCCAATTTTAGGTTGCAACCCAAATGTTTGTGAGAGTAGGGTTTAAAACGCTAGTAAAAGTTTGTGGTAATAAGACATGAAAATTGTTTCTAAAGGCGAATTTGGTAGAAGCACATTCAAAAGTGAACACCCTATGAGCATTCAACCACTCTGGATAGATCTCCTCAATTTCTTCTCATCTTGCTATAGCAAAAAAACGATTTGCTAACTAGATAGACAGGACCCCGTTAGAGAAAGCTAGCTGAAAGACTGAAAGACAGGAGAAACGAAGAGCCCACATGGTGCGGTGGTGACCGCGTTAGCTCTCGGAAGGGGCAATGGCCTGTTCGTTCCTCACCGCAGACACCTGCAGTTCGGAGTTCTTCCATTATCTCAGTATCTTTATGGCTGTATTTTAGATAGTACCCTAGCTTGAAAAATTATGGTGGGCAGCTAATAAAAGGTTAACATTGTGATCCCCTAATTACCAAAGCTCATTGTTAAAGTACTGCAGAGGAGACCTTTTTACCAGCAGCAGTCTCTGTGATGACGGCTCCCCCAATAACATTTTCTAGCCACAAGACAAATTCGTTCCGAAAAAAAAGTTTTTGGGAACTACTGGGTCGGAAACTAGCTTTTCACGAAACACGCTTAAAATTGTGTTTGACAAGCTACTGATTGAGTACAATGAGAGCAGCGAAAAAACTATGTGTGGCACAGCATGCCACTGAAAAAGAAATTGGTTGGATGCAGTAAACTTCGCTTATCTTTCTGCTATGCAAACAATGAATAAAATGTACCTTGGGTGATATATTTTAACCTCGAAAGCGGAAGCTGCTTTGGATGCACCTGATTGAGAGCCACGTGAAATTTGATGTTAAACCGACAGGTTCAAGGCTTAAAGATAGAGTCCGACCAAACTGTTCTGGTGTTATGGCTGAAAAGCAAAAATCGGCATTCTTCATGGCGAGTCGTGGGCATGCTCGTTTTCACTGTTTCAGTGACGTTTTGTGCAACCCAACAATTTGTTGTCTCACCGTCCAACGTCGCAGACGGGAGCGCCCAGTCATCGAGGTGCTAAGGCTGGTTTGTTGCTGATAGAGCCATTTGCGGTTCTTGGATTTTCGAGGGAGCTTAACTGGAGCTTTTCTCAAATCATGTCGCATGAAATCGACGGCCCATGTGGATAAGAGGGAGATTTTCAACCTTGCGATTAATCTTATACCAGAACAGTGGTGGTTCTTGATATTGGCTTGTTTTTAGTTGGTGTTCCCGATGGAAGCGTCGAAATTACTCTCAGCTTTTAAGACCATGTTGGGAGATAAACTCTCCGTTGCACATCGCAGTCTGACACCAAAGAATGCTAAACCTCCTACCACGATGAGTGCGATAACACCGAAGTCGCCGTAAAGTCGATGCACGAAGAACAACACTCAATACTGTATCGCAAATGCTTTCTATGACTTAGGAAACATTGAAGCTAAAGCTAAAAAATATGGACGAGGATCGTAGGAGTAAAGTGTGAATGCGAAGCCTGCTTCAGCCAACAGTACTCGTGAAAAACGGCAAATGACTTATCTGAGTGTTTGCTTAGCAATGATATATTGTGATAACACTATGTTATCTGGCCCTTAAAAATCATAGCCCCGTCTCACGTGCGTTAGTATTAAATTCTCATACTTGCTGAGAAGTCAGTCTTCTCTTCTGCACTACTAGTCGTCTTTTTCGAATATGTTTAAAAGGATCTCCGAAAAAGAGGTTGTTAATAAGAAATATTACACTCTCACACTTTACACCGTCTTTTTGATAAGAAGCTTTTTAAAAATCCGTTTAAAATCCAACATATTCTGGACAAAACAGATTTTAATGAGAAAATATGTGCTTCATAACTACAGAATTCTCTTCAAACACTGACATATTTATTGACCAGGATGCATTACTGAAAACAGAGCCCAAGCCCGAAAAAAGACACAGTGGAACAACTGTTCAGGTACTAAAGGTAAACACAATCATTTGAAATATTCGTGCCCTGTAAACTTACTACATATTTGGGCAATCAATTGAAGGAGCGTACTTACTGCTTAGTAGTGCAGATCATTTTTCTAAGTATTTTAGCAAGAAGCATCGTTGCGAACACTCTAGAAACGTATTGATGTCGGTGCTTAAGAGAAATACTGGTGGGAAGGGAACAGTTAGAAAATAGGGCAGGATCTACAAAAGTGTATGGAAACGACATGAACGTGTTAAAGTCGGTTAACCTGCAAAAAACTCTTTAAACAGTAAGATGATAGGTGAATGAAACACATTAAATCGTGGCGAAACACAGCTGTGTGGCGGAGTTCGATGAAATTTTTGCAGAAAGCATCACCTGTCACATGCAGGAGTTAAAACTTCTGTCATCGCTTTGACCAAAACGATTTGTTTGCCTGGTACTTCGCACACAGAATACTTTTTCAAGGCATGTTTGATGTGCTGTTACCTTCTATGTCCACCGACTCCAAACTCAATCACTCGAAAAATGGCGTTCCATCCTCCACGAAAAGGCAAGAACTACACTATTCATCTCGCTGAAGATCCAAATGAACAAATAGACAATGCTTCTAAGGTACTGGGCTTCTGACTGAATTAATATTTTGGTAAAGAAGAGTTGACTAAACTGCACGCATACCTATAAATAGAGCGCTTTTTCTCACAAATAAAGTCTTATTGCACTAACACTTTTTCTCATAAATAAAGCCTTATTGCACTAACCTTCGTGCTCCAACTTTAAACCTTTCCTATACAGTGTTGATCGACCGAGTTCGCCGATTGTTAGTTGCAAGGAAAGTAATATCTGGTGTTGCTAGAGAAGTAGATGCAACCAAAGCGCTCAATGTCGTTTATGCAAGAGTTCAAACAACTTTTATAACACACTATGACTAAAGTTGTATTAAGCTCATTGGAAAACGGTTCTTCATAAAACCGGCACAACTTATAAAATCTCCGCATTCCGATTACAATGAGGTTATGCGACACATTGAGGTGAGTGCTAAAACGTCTCTTCAAGACAGTTTAACTCAGCTTTCGAGTGTAAGTCACCATTCTTTAAATTAAAGACACTCTACCTTGATCTATAAATAAGCGACTAGTGCACACAATAATAGTCTAGCAAACCGATAATGATTGTTGAAGAATTTTGTTTCTCACGCGAATCGTTTAATGGAATTGTGGCTACGTGAGATTTCAAACATGGATAGCTAAACCTTTATTTAAAAGTCGAAATAACATAAAAGCAACACGCTAGTGGGACCAAATGCAGAGGTAACCTAAGGATTAAGGATTAACATTAGCAGTGCGAGAGATTAGCTTCCATAATGATTAGTGACTGAAAAGGGAACAGAAACGTGCTATAGAAATATTACCTAACCGAAAAAGCTGAAGCTACCACAAATCGTAGAAAATGAGAGAGGAACTAGGCCTACGATTGAGTACCAATTTCCTACATACTGCTTTGGAATGAATGATGGGAATCTCCAACATGTGAGGGGAGATATCATGAGGTTGATGTGAAAAGTGGTAATGCGGTGCTTACGACGAACAAAGATTATTGGAGTCTCAAAGTGGCCAAACGCACAACAGACCGAAATGGTACAAGCAATATCATTTCGTTATTCATCAGAGACTGTTCTGACAGAGTTATGCGAGCGTAGGTATTGATAGAGAACTTTTTACATACTGTAGAGAACGCAGAAAAACTGCTTAGTTTAACACTCATTGCGAAGTTTTCAGTGCTTCGTTTTACGAACGGCGCTTGGAAGTTGTATAATCGTCGTGAGATGTACCTTACCGAAATCAAATCCGAATGAGAAAAGAGAAGAGGTGTGATTTCTAAATATAGCCCATTCTCACAATTTAGGCCACTGAAGATCAGACCAAATACATAGGATTATGCGAAATTTTTGAAATGATATAAAAAGTGTGCAAATGTGAATTTCATATAAATCACTAAAGAGTGCTGAATGTTCTATAAGTGTTTGGAATATTGGCTTGTTTAGTGTAGAAGCTGGCATCAATGTAAAGAAAATTTTCAAAACTCAGACACCTGGCCAGATTCCCAGATAATTAGCCTTGGCGGCTGGTTGCTGATTACACCGTTAGGGTAAAAAATTAGCTGAGAGAAAGGTAAAGTCAATAGCTTTCTATAGGTACAACTGGTACAATGGCTAACACGTGGGCTCTTGAAAACGGTAATACGAACAAATCTGTTTTGCGGGGCAAATTTTGCGAATATCTCAGGATCGTTTTGGTTCCTTTTCACACAATACTCTGTCATGAAAAAATGGCAGACGGCAAATGGAAAGTTACACATCGCAAAGAAAATTATTTGAAATCGCTCTGTTCTACAGCTTCGTAGTGTTTTGCTTAGCTGGAAAATGTTTGATCTAGGTGATTAACCCTTTCATTTGAGATGCGCATGTGGTGATTCCTTCTTAGCGATTTTTCTAAATCAGGGCTTACATTTGGTCACTGTTTAGCTAAATTTCTCATTGCTTTCTCTCCATAGTTCTTGTAAAGACACAGCCATGGAAAATCACTCAGAATGTACCACATAATTTGGGCAGATATCATTTGGACAGATATCTAACATTTCTACCTGAATCTCTACAAAACAGAGTCAAAATCGTTGTTTTTCATCTGTAAATGAAGTGGGCCAAATAATAGCCGAAAATTGGCTATTAAATTGTTAAAATGACTGTTATCAACAAGCAGATAGGGATATTGACATCAAGTCGCTTTACAGAATTAATAAAACTTTTAGTATGAAGTTGATGCTCGAAGAATTTATGAGATCACTCTACACACTTTAATTTCAAACTTAATTGTTTCGGGCCTATCAATACAATTATTCAAAAAGGCCCAAGATTCTAGGCCTACTCCGTAGTTCTTTGTGAAGAACTGCTAGTCGAGAAGCTCTCTACTTGTTTATCCCGGCTCTGATTCAGGTCGTGATTTTCTGTCAACCAAACGCATCAGATCTTGGCGAATACCTACAGCCTTGCTGTGCAAACATTCCGCTGATGGCAGAACTATTTGACACAGACGTATACGCGTTCGACTACTCAGGGTATTTTCTCTTTGAGAGCGCTGAATTATTTTTTTTTAGTTTTTAGTCCATCACTCATTCTTTGTATGATCATTCTTCGAGCAAAGAAACTTTTGGCATGCCAAGTGAGAAATCCAGACCGTACGTTCGCTTCATTGGATTCCTCTCTGGCGTGTTAAAATGTGGAGGAATCAAACGAAAAACACAGCGGAATGCTACATTATACCTTTTAGCATCTAACGCGATTGTCTGCTCTAAGCCTATCCATTGAATTTGCTTTAACTGTTAACTCAGTTTTTTACATTTTATTCGGCACTAACTGAGTATTCGAGTCAATTTCAAGGTATGGATACTCATCTGGAAAACCTTCGGAAGCCAATATTTATGCTGATATCCGCGCTGTTTACGAGTTTGTGAGAAAAAGCCGTCCTGATAAGAAGGTATTTTTAGATGGAACAAAGCAAGAATGCACTTCAAAATTCAATTAAGAGCTATGGCGAGAATGAAGCAACTTTCGCTATGATTCGAACTCATGCCTAAACGGCCAATTATGAGTGCTTTGAAGATTTGTGAGGCATACCTACATTCTGTAAGCTCTTCTTCCACGTAGATTCTTGAACAGCGATATTGCGCAAGGAAAAATATTATTCACATTTGTAAAAAGATTTTCTTTTGTCTGACCGGATTTCTCTTTCATAGAGTTCTCACTCCCACTAATTTTTTCGAAGCCGTTTCGAAAAATTTGTAACGGTGGAATTTGGTATATATATATATATATACATCTCTATATACATTGGTATACAATACACACTTGGTATCGTTCCCCGCATCCGTGGCTCACCAAGCCTTCCATTCCTCCGCGGTCGGCAAATTGGTACCAGGTGTGGCTGGGAGGTTAGCAGCACTGACTCCATACTTCGATAACCGCGAATCATATATATATATACATACACACGGTCTTCCGCCTACACTGTCTTACAACCGGTGTCCATTGTTGCTAACGTACTCGCGATTGAGTTCTGCTCCTGCTTGTGCATCTGATAAACAAATGATATTGTGCCTTCCTGTAGTCTTTCTTTATTTTCCGAGGACTCATTGTTCGGCAGAAAAACCATATTGCTTTTGTACTCACAACGATAGTCGGAATCATGGTTTTCATACAGGTTTATACCTTTGCCAATCTAGAAGGTTAAAGTGGTGTTAATCCCTATGCCTTCGAATGTTTTTGACGATCTGTGAAGACTAGCGCAACGCTAGAGCGCTATTCCCTGCATAGCTCTACGGTCATAAGTTTGGAAGGTGTTCAATTCAGTGAAATCTATCGTAAAAAATAAACTCGTTTTATGGCATGGCCTTCATCCAGCTCCTTCAAGTAACAGATTAGGGTGACCTTCGTGGAAATATTATAGACTATGATCAAGCTGATCAGGTTGCAGTTATGAACGCCATTCATTCTTCTGTCTGACTGAAAAAGACAGCGAAGTCCGTTTCTACGGAACGATAAGCATGTGAACTCCACAACGTAGCACATTATTATCGTCACGTCAAGATCGAGCACACTACCATCGTTACTAAGTCGATTTAAGAATTCGTTCATCCACAACTGTCGACCATAGCATCTAAGTAGGAGTTTTGCACCACGAACGCCTCTGTCTATATTTTTAAGTTCCTTAAATAGGATGGCATTAAAAATGTTCCGATTGTTTTGACAACGTCCATTGTGGTATGCTTACTTGCATGGAAACTAGAAAATGCCCGTGTGTTTACATTTCTAGTCGTAGTCATTCTATCTCGACTTTACAATATTTTTATGGATAATTCGGCTGGTTACCTTATCTTCGTGCTACCGGGCAGCTAATCACAGAGTTCGTTAACATTACAAGAGCTGTTGTTGGCACGTAAGAATTCGAGTCATAGGGCAGCAAACTTCCTTTATTTTCATATGGCTCGGGGACTACCAGTTTTGAGAACCTGAGACCACTGTAGAAGGGCTATCTCACTGTTTCAAGGGAAATCACGCCATATCAAGAAGTAGTCTAATCAAACTCTAATCCGATTATCTCTGCGGATGACGGACGCAAGACAATGAATCAAATAGAAGAAGTGCGTATTTTTTGAACGAATATATAAATTTTTTTCTTCCAGATCGTGCTGCTTGGTTTTAGCCTCGGAACGGCGACCGTTTCCGATATGGCTGCTAGTCGACCTGAAGGTCTTGCCGGCGTTGTGCTAGTGGCTCCATTCACTAGCGGACTACGTTTAATTGGTGATCAACCAGAGAAACCTACGACGTGTACCCTTGATCGCTTCAATACGTATCTTTTTTAATTCGTAGATCATATTTTAAAAGTAGTCATGCTTTACAAAACTCCTCGGATATCGCAGTTCTCTATCTCTCATTCCGTTCTCAGCAGCCATTTGCTTTTCTAGATACTTGATACTTGAATAGCCTGTCCTCACTGGTTGTGCGGGCCCTAGCAATCTCCACATTTTCGGAGATTTGCTGTTAAGTCACTGTGGTTTCCCGCAATCCCGAAGTCAGCCTGGCCAGTCTGCTCCAGGTCTTCACCACCACAAGCAGTAGCAACCTTTGCGAATCAGAAGAAGATTTGCCAGCAAGCTACTGATTTGATACTAGGAGGTGGAGTAGCCATGATGAGGCGGTGAACCGTTGAGAGGGTTTCTATAAATAGCTACAATTTATTCCAGAGTTTCTCTTTAAACGCTGTTACAACCGAAAGCACTTTTTTTTCTTAGCACAATACCTTCACACTGAATATTGAGAAAAACGAATATTTGCTTGCTTGGCATAAGTTTTGCTTAGAAGCTATAGCTTCTCTGGTTTAATAACATTGGAGAATTCGTCTTGTTTTACACGCATCCTATGCTATGAACGATCGGCTAAACTTATGTATAATGGATGAAAACACACTGTTAAGGAAGCATAATTCCGTAAAAAAGTCATGATTTTTCCTTTTTCGTGAACAGCGAAGAACTTCTCAAGTATACCATACATCATCTGCGTAATAAATACAGTCGTTTTTAATTACTAGCTACTTTACAGTGCAAAATGTTTAGTGTTTAGTACGGAGAAAATGACAAACAAGTCATTCAGGTACGACAAGGTGGGAAGGATCGCTGTGCCGTTGTTGGTGTGTCACGGAAATCAAGACGAGACGATCGAAGTAGAGCATGGATTGGAGCTTGCTCGACGTGCACGGAGAGCCGTTCCACCACTCATTATTGATGGAGCTAACCATATAACAATCTTCAATGGAAAGTACATGCAGACATTTACTCGAATTCGGCGGTCAGATCATTTAACGTTCTTTTTTTTCTTCTCTCAAGTCGTACATTTGATAAAACTTTACGACTGCCAAGAAATTAATGAGCAATTTTTTTGTAACATCTCTGGGTTGTCTAGCATCGAGGCTGTATGTGTAGCAAGACCATCGCCACCATGATGGCATAGCGACGGTGATATCGCGAAATTCATTACATTCTCCGAACATTGTTAAATATATAACATTGATGGGGCGAATTGTGTAGTAATAGAATCGGAAATACGTGCAGAGGGCCAATCAGGCGTCCCATCTTAGCAAAATCGGAAAATTGCCGCCACATTCGTCTGGGAAGCAATTCCCTCCCACCCTAAATGGCTATGGACTGCCTGCGATGAATAACAGGAAAAATCGTAGCTCGGCTCTCTCAGGATTTCAAAACCAATTTGCTCCACTATTTAATAAGCTTCATAAAGAAGGCCAAGACCTCTAACTGTAACCAGATCCATGTGCAAATCCGAAGACCCTCGTTGATAGCCGATAAGAGTAGAAGAATCGAATAAAAGAAATGCTAGGATCTACACAACATGTGAAATCAGGTTGTGCAAATTTTTTTAAAATCTAAAAGAAGCACTCTTAATGATGCTGAGATATTTGCAAAACTCCGGACCGCAAGTGTCTGACCACCACATCATGCGGGTCCTTCGTTTCACCTGTCTCTCAGCTAGTTCTATCGATCTTTTGCCATCAGCAATCACCCGTCAGCGGGATAGATCTGGGGAGCCCAGATAGGCAACGAACCTAGCCAGCTGCAAATATCTCAGCATCTTAAAGTTATATTTCGCAATATGCCGTTGAAAAGAGTTGGCAGTAAATGATAAGTTTAAAAGGCACTTTTTTCACTTTTTTTTACTTAGCTAACGTTGACTTGAAAAAGAGAAGGGTGTCTCAACATTAGCGTCAACTTCGTGTTCTTAAAATCTAACAAGTTTCGGAAAAACGAATTTTCACGCCTTTGTTTTTATTATACGGACTCTTCATTATACGAACGTTTTCATTATGCGGGCTAAGGCATATGGGTTCTTCTTTTTTCGTAATCAGTTTAAGCTATACAAATATGTATGAAAACGAGTGGATTAGAACAGTTTTTAATACAAATTAAGCCATCTCTGTAAAGTTGCGAATATAGCAAGGAATATTGGAATTCTTAAAACTGTGTTATTGAGCTGTAAAATGAGTTCTAGAGGAGATGGAAGCCTAACAGATAAAAGGGTCTATAGACGACCAAACGTGAATTACATTGGTCACTTGACGATGCTAGTTAAACAAACCACGTATAGAGGACAATTCCCGATCACGAAATCGATTTGAAGATTTGGAAAACGAATTCATTCTGGATGAAATGCCCTATCTAACAACCGTTTGAAATATTTCCTGATGCTTCACAATAGTGTTTCTCCTACCAGGATTTTTCGTTATTCATATTCACTAGATCCTAGACCGTTAACATCACCTCTATCACCTGTAGCCCCGTTGATCGTCGAGTGACTCGAGTAGACGTCAATAAATCATCAATTTTTTCCTATCGTGTGCATGAGTAGCCCAGTACGTTCTGCTCGCTCTAGGGACTCGTCGAGCATCATATCTTTTTTCTAGGCTCTTAGTGATGAACTCTGACCATTGGATCGGTGGTCTTTCTGCAGTACGTTTGACATCCCGAAGAATCCAGTCACTAACGGCTCTTGTCCATCGCTTGCCATTCATACGCATTACGTGCCCAGCCCGCCTTACCTTCGACTGTATGGCGTACAGAAAGGCACCATTGATTTTTGATCGTGGTGCAGGTCGAAGCTTCGGATCCCTTCCATTACTTGAACAAAACGGAATACTCCTAGCATCGTCCTTTCGACTGCGCGTTCAATAACGCTAAGTGATCCTTTATCCTGTTCACGCAACGACCATGTTTCTGACGCATACGTTAACGCAGAAAGTACCGTTAAGTCGAGAAGGTGGGCATGGAGTCGGGTGTTTTTTGTTCTCTTCACCACACCCTCGACGCTCTTGAAGGCTCACCAAGCCGCTCGTTTCCTTCTCCTCAGCTTTGGAACTAAGTCTTTCAACATGTTGATTTCCCGATCGAGATAGACATGACTGGAGCATTCGGAGATGTTTGTTCCGTTGAGCGTGAATGGGGGATACGAAATCAATCCGTTCCTCATAAACATCGTTTTTTGACATTTAGGCGAACACCAATCTTTAAACAGATTTCATCAAAGTCGTCAAGCATACGTTCAGCTTGGCTAATGTTTGGTGTTATAAGGAGGATGTCATCAGTAAAGCGAAGATGATGTAACTGCCGACCATCGATTTTCACTCCCATATTATCTCATTCCAATGTTCGCATGACGTTCTGGAAGTTGGAGGTAAATAATTTTGGCGACATGGTATCACCTTGCTTAACTCATCTTTTGACGTCGATGTTAATATCATTGTAGAATGGTGATACCTTGGTTGTGAAATTTTTGTACAGCTCACGAAGACTCTTTATGTACTGAGTGGGGATGTCTTGGCTATCAAGGGCTTCCATGACTACTTCTTTCTCAGTTGAATCAACGGCATGCTGTAAATCGATGAAAGTGACACAGAGCGGTCTTTTGTGCTCTCACGACACCTCAATGAGTTAACCGTTAGCATACTATCCTGAAATTGCTACTCTAGTCTTGTTGGAAATGGGATTGATAGAGTATAACAGTGGAATAAGCACTGCATTACCATGTACTGTCAGCACTAAAGCGTTGTAAAAAATTTAAGTGCCCTTGTCGTGCTGTGACTGTGCTCCGAATTAGTCTTTGTTGTGATAGCTGTCATATACCCCTGCGAACACACGACTCCTAACATTTGTAAAAGTTTTTTAAAAATCAACTTTGTTAGGTGCTTTTTTGCCGCAGCTTCTCGCTTAAGGTAGAATCTCTTAGTTGGAAAAGTGGTTGTAGCTGATGTCAAAGGTTCATGCAGTAGTCCTACAATGCATTACTGGGCTTCGCAGGAGAACACTTGATAGAGAAAGTTCTTACGGCTGTTTATTCTAAACTACAACAATTTCTCATTCAGATTTCTGGATGAGGAAACTAACCAGTCTCAGGAGAGTGAGACTAATACCAACATTCGCGAAAGTGCACAAGAAAAAGTGATCATGTAATTTGACTTGAACATTCTTGCTTAGTTTAAATAAATATTCCTCTTCAGAACAACTCCTACTTGGAAGATTTGATGCTTATACTCTTGTGATCAACTGAAATTATTATTGACACTTCTTCTTTTTTGCTTACCTTCATTTCAAGATTTTATTCAAACAACATATCCAATATACATTGCAACTGAATAAAAGAGCTTGATATCTACTGAGGAAACCAGCTAACTTTTATGAGACAGAGCCAGATGAACTGAGCATGAACTCTGTTCAATAGTCGACGTACTGCCTCACAGGTACAGTTGGAATTCTTTGAGAGTCGAAATGTGCTTTCCTAAATGTGCAACACAAAGTATTGATCTTGACTAACCTAAAACTCAACAAGAGGAGAACTTGAACTAGAAATATGGCGATAAAGTTACCAAACTGGGATGCGTATTACTGTCTCCACGAACAAGGCCGGTACGAGTACAAATTTTATTCACTGGACAATTTGTGGGTTGGACAAATTTTTCTTCAGTCTGAAGCCCAAGAAAGCCATCGCAGGGATTTCCCAAGACGTCGAAATGCTGCCGATGGGCTTATTTATTGGCGGCAGGTTTGCCTATGTGTCACTATGTTTCCTCTAACACGAAAATGACTCCTTGTATAGGTTTATTTACAAAAGGGCATCGAAAGATTGGACTATCGAATTACTGTGCTAACGTACCCTGCTCTTCTGTACAATGCAGTTAAACGGCTTTATATCTAGGAACACTCTGGCCATGGCAACATGTATAGTAGGTGCACATGCAATCATCATAGCAGCAAATCAAATTTTCAAAAAGCCCAATGAATTATAGGACAATGGCCCGACGCAAGTGGCGCAGTGGTCTAAGGCGCCCTGCAATACACACATAGAATTGATCATTGTGACCATGGCTCACCAAGCTTTCCATCCATTTGGGGTCGGCAAATTGGTGCCAAACCTGTCTGGGAGGTTACCAGTAGTGGCTCGATACATCGTTAGGCCACCGCGAGCCATTGTAAAGGCCAGATAAGCATTCAGTCACCTCCAAAGATGCTTAATAAAGTTGAATGCATGGCGTATCCTTCAGGGAGTCATCACTGCCGAGTGCTTTATTCTTCACCTTTTAATAGCTCTACTTCGAACTCAGTCAAAGCTACCAAAAATATGAATTATGTCAGATCAGCCAAAAATATAAGACATTTGCAGTTAAAAACTTTCTAAAAAGTTAAAAAAAAAAAAAACTAAAAAGTTAAAAATCTTGCGACAACCAATCCGTCATCATTTAAGGTTAGACTCATCATCAGCTGTGTAAATGGGCGAACGGATAGAATAAGCTGGTTTTAAAGCCTGTTACTTACCCAGTTGCTTAACCACATTCCATCTCACCTCACAAACACCCAAATGTTCCTAGAACGTCTACGTAACGCGTCTCCTAATAACGCGTATGTGATGGAGTCTTTCGACGTTACCGCACTGTACACCAACGTATCGAATGACTCCGCAATGCAAGCCATCTTCGAACTTCTTGTTGAACATTAAGGAAGAATAAATATGCATGGCTTGTCCATCCAGCAGCCAATGGCTCTCTTAAAGGAGTGCCTAAACTGCTCGATTTTCAGATGGTCTGGGAAATATTTCGCACAAATAAGGGGGTTGGCAATGGGACAGCGATTGGCACCAAGCCTTGCCATTGTGTTTATGTCTAAGCTAGAAGCCCCTGTTCTCGATCTCCGGCCACTACTCTACTGCAGATATGCCGATGATTCTTTTGTCGCCTTCTCTACGCAGGAGGAGATGGACAAATGCTTTGAATCATTGAACGAGCAGTCCGAGTACATAAAGTTCACCCGGGAGAAACCGAGAGAAAACTGGCTTCCGTTTTTGGANGTCCAAATAAACCTATCAAGTAGCGGTTACCTGACAAAGTGGTATCGAAAGCCAAGTAACAAGAACATCCTTGTCCATTTCCTTTCTTCCCACCCTTCACACACAAAGAGGGCGATTGTGAGAAACATGTTTCGAACAGCCACCTCTGTGTGCACTACCAGGGAACTAAAGGAAGAATCGCCCGACTTGGCCCGGCAAATAGCCATCTCCAATGGCTACGAAATAGTAACCCCACGAGATAAGTTTACAAGGAGAACGACGCGCCCACGCGAAACGCTTGGCCAAAACAAAATCCCGTTTATGTTGCCTTTTATAAGCGACGAAGTAAGCGCAGCTATAAAACGATGCTTAAGAAGGGCAGGTCTAGAGGAATCGGTAGCGGTAGTTGAAATACCACCAGCTGCTCTACGTCGTCATTTAGTTCGTAACCGCCTGTATGACCGTCTGTGTGAAACAACAAATTGCGTAATTTGCCCTTACGGCAGGGACGGTGATTGCATGAGTTCAGGTACGATATACCTGATCTCGTGTAACAATTGCGGAGATGAATATATTGGCGAAACGGGCAGACCTTTGTGTATCCGTATAAAAGAACACCTAGATGGCAGACGAAAACTAAGACGAAGCACCCCACTAGGCACGCATAGGATACAAAAGCATAGCGGAGACGATTTTGAAGTGGAAGTCAATATCCTTGCACAGGAGTCCAAAACACCAGCGCGAAAACTCCTAGAGGCTTTTTGGATCAATGCCAAAAACCCTACAATGAATAGCAGGGACGAATGCCCGGAGATCATACGCGACCTGATCTCGTACGTTCGCATCGATTTTTGATGTGGGATGGTGCAGTCGTCAACCACATGCGACTATAATCAGCTGTTCTAAACTTCCTCATTGGAAGTCACGAAAAAGCGGTGGGTTTTTCGAGAAGTTGTTGATCGTGTATTTACCAAAGAGTCTTTCGTCTTTGTGTAAGTGTTATTGAAGCGTTTGGCCTAGTAGATTGTATATCAGTATACCCTTCCAGGCTCTGAAGAAGGCGATACTGCCGAAACGTCAGCTAGCGTTGTATTGTATTGTGTTTTTATGGAAGTAAATGTATGCTGTTCAAAAACCTCGCGATTGCTGAACAAGAAAACGACACTTCCACTGAGTATGTCACGTGGAGACCAACTGAGCAGAAGTCACATGGAAGCGTAATATGCCCCTCCCATTAGAATGACAGGCTTATACACTGCCCAATATCACGCGTGATAATGAGGCATTCTTCTCTGCGGTGCATTTTCGGATTCTTGGAATTAATCCAGAACGCTCCAAAAATTTTGCGAGCTTGTGTTTTCGACTCCTGTTCGAGGATCCTCAATTCTACTTCAAAATCTTCCCGTAATGTCTCTGTGTTCTATGCGTGCCCAGTGGGGTACTTGGTCTAACTTTAAGTTTACCGACCAGATGTTCTTTTATGCCGACGCAGAGTGGTTTACCCGTTTCGCCAACGTATTCGTCCACACGTGCTTTGCAAAAGATTAGGTATACTGGGTTCGAACTCACGCCAACCCCGTCTCTACCATTAGGGCAAATTACACAGTTTTGCGTTGTACATAGACGATCATACAGGCGGTTGTGGACTACTTGGCTTTTTGTAGTGCTCTGTGGTATTTCGATTATTCCAACCGAATTCTCTAGACCGGCTGTTTTTAAGCAGCGTGATATAGCTGCACTTAGATCATTTGAGATGAAGGACAGGATAAATAGGACCTTAATATCGCATGAGTTACGTTTGGGGCTTGGCTCTTCCTCTACACCTGTCCCGAGGAGCTACAGTTTCGTAGCCATTCCAAACGGCTATTTCGCGCGCCAGGTTCCGGGATTCTTCCTTCTGCTCTCTTCCTGTGCACGAAGAAAATTTCGAAGTAAAAGTGAGGATCCTCGCACAGGAGTCGAAAACACAAGCGTGCAAAATTCTTAAGGCATTCTGGATTAATTCCAAGAATCCGAAAATAAACCGCAGAGAGGGATGCCTCATTATCAAGCGTGATATCGGGCACTATTTAAGACTGCTATTTTGATGTGAGGGACACATTACGTTCCAAGTAAACTCTGTGCCGTTGGTCTCCACGTGACATATTCAGTGGAAGACTCACAGAAAGCGGTGAGTGTGCAAGAAAGCTATTCTGTGTTCAATGTGATTGGAATCTTGGTTTAGCGTTTTCTTTGTTTGGTTATGGAGATGTTTGACCGTGTAGATTGCAGTCAACTTGGCCTTTCCAGGCTCTGAGAAAGACAAAATCGGCCGAAACGTTAGCTTGTACGTAAATAAAGAAATAAAATAACGCCTCGTTTTGGTCGACAGGAATATAAAGAATTACTTGATCAACGTCGAGGTTAACAGGAAATCGGTCGAGGGATTTATTTTCGGTTCATTTGATTGTTCATTGGGTATATTTCAAAACCCATTAGTAGACAGCATAACAATATTTCATAAACCAACTTTCCTTTAACCTCGGTATTACTAATCAACGTGTATTCTTTTTTTGATAGACTACACGATGTTGATAAACAATTTTTATTCGGCTAATGTTTCGACGTCTTCGTCTTCATCAGAGCCGATAATCAGAGTCGATAGGCCACGGTTGTTCTTCGTCTCGATGTGGCGTCTTCCCCTTCATGTCGAGTCGGGTCTTCTTCACCGTGCCTTCTCCTCGAATGAGGCATACTCACTCGGTGATGCCCTTTTAAACAGGGTGCTAATGGATGCCAGTAGTGATTTTCCAGTGGTAAAATCTTGTTTTTTGACCTATTTATTTTCTTTTTTTAACAAGTTCCTATCATTGGAAAGTTTCCACTATCGACCACTAAGACCTTGTATAGAAGGGCAGCACCGAGTGAGTATGCCTATTTCGAGAGATGATCCACTGAAGAAGACCCGATTCGATACCGAGGCGAAGACGCCACATCCAAGCGAAGAACAACTTTGGACCATCGACTCGGATCATCGGCTCTGATGAAGACGAAGACGTCGAAACATTAGCCGAATAAAAATTGTTCATCAACTAAAGAGTACACATAAGTAGAGCTCGACAGCAAGCCGATTAAGCTTTTATAAAGTAAGGGT